ACCGGCATAGATATAAATAGAAATGCACAACAGATTTTATTATCGAGAGTTGAACGTATCACGTAACTACATTCGAATATATTATTTTCCGGGTATAGACATTACCTCCTTCTATTTTTAGCACAATTTTGATCCGAAGAGATGATAAAGTGATTAACATGCATTTGTCATGATAAGTGAGATAAATTTTAAACTGCGGCGTTTATCTCAGTTACTAAGAATCATATAAATGTCATATGAAATAAAAAAATATACGGTTTTAATAGTTTTCTTCAAATTATTCTTCTATATTAGCTTCAAGACTTAGCATAATTGTCTTGATCACCATCACTCATTACCAAGTCTATACAGACACCAACAAAGCCCTAATAAATATTGGTAATTATACAATAAAAGTCCTACTAGGTCTATTAAGCCGACGTTAACTTAGTCATACTAAAAAGATAATTATTTCCATCTTCAGAACTACATAATAAACGTTAAAACAACATTAGAATTGCGATAAGACGTTATTAAGATACACTTTATTTTAATTACTTGCTTGGAATTACCTCTATACTTTGAAGAAAAATTAAGAAGTAACCTAAGAATAATTAAAGCGAAGGATATAATAAAGGCTGGTCTTCAACATAAAAATGTTTTTATTTTTATTTTAGTAGTAGTAGTGTTTGAAATCAATCATTTAGTTTGCAAAAAACAATTTATAGCTCGTGGTTTCTTCGTTACGTTTGCTGGTATATGTAACACCAATGCCCAATGAACAGTTTACCAGACACTATAAGAAATGAATAAATCAAACAAAAAACCTTATAGTTGTAACTAGCTGAGTCAGCGACTTAGTCCGCGTTTTTTTTGGGCATCCCCTTGATCTATATAGATTTTGGCTGGTACCCACAACATCGGTCGCATCAGTACCGTATCGTGGGAAATTTTTTTTTTTTTTCCATTTTTCTTACGCATGTAACAATTTCGTCAAGTCTTTTTCGATTGTTTATACAAACAAAAGTTTTTTTAGAATTTGAAACAGTCGTTTCTGGGATTAGATTAGTCAAAAAGCTAGAAGATATGAAGTTGTTATATATATTCTAAGAATGTTTAGCGGGCAGACACCATTTTGAAGGAAGGGAATAGGGGTCGACTCCGGAAACACACGGTTCAATGAAGCTGATTCAGTGTGATCCCACTCGGTCACTGTTCTCGTTAACTCGTGCAAATATCTATCTATCTTCCGCTTTGTACGAGCAAATACAAACAATAGACGCAACTTTCCTTATCTACACTAATATATAAAGCTGAAGAGTATGCTTTTGTTTATTTGAACGCGCTAATCTTAGGAACTACTGGTTCGAATTGAAAAAATCTCTTTGCGTTGAATAGACCATGCTGTACCTAATAGGATCGGCGAGACAGCAGGAAATGTAGTAAAATGGGGAAAATTAAAAATCATCGTTTGTTTTCGATGCAAAGGCGAAATCGGTTCAAGATACCCAAAAAATATATATGCAGGAAGGATTCTTTTTTAAATCTTTTAAGATTAACTTAGAAGATCGACGGGATGCGACCGACATAGTGGTATCAGCTTAAGTTCACAAAAATGAACAGGAGGACAAATTTGTATGCTCAAAATAACTATTTTCGGATGAAGTCGCTAACACAGCTAAAGTTGTCATGCACGATTCCTGTTATTCTTCTTAATTTCATTCTTCGTTCAGTACTTCATTGACGGCTGGAGAAGATTTTTCTGTTATCTTTCTTTTTATGTGTTTTTATGTGTACTTAAAATGAATGTTTACGGGCAGAGTTATTATACATTAAAATAAGTTCACTTAATCGACCTCAAACATTTTTATTTGTTAGAAGTTTGACGTGCTCAATACTAGGACGTCAGCAACACTACAGATACATTGCTAGAAATTAATAACCCGATTAAATTTAGTTCTGACTGAGAGAGAATCAATTTTTGTGACAGAATAACCTATACACTTCTTTTTGTGATTACCAGAAACTTCTGTCACGATACCTTTCAATATTTAATTAGCATTACCTGTATTTAACGCTCGTTTCTAATTCCGTTGCTAATCCCAAGAAAATACATCATAGTTACATAAATTTATTAATGACTTGAATATTGTTTAGATTAAATTAGAGCCTGTAGCTAAACAATCTCAAGAATCTTATTAAGAAATTTCAAGAAGGTATCATTTGCATTGTTTAACTATATTTTTGTATTAAATGCAAGGCAATTACTAATTTAAAAATATTTATAGACACCTCTTCGGATACTTTGCAGTAGACTGTACAACGTCGGGTCGTAGTTATATTTCGCGTTGTAAACAGCTAAAACTGTTTTATTTTAATATGAATAGAAAAGAAATGTTTGAAAATAATTCTTTATAAATTCACCAAACATCAAAGAACATAAGACATTAAAAAATTGGCCTATTAGTAAAACAGGTCGATTCATAGCGACCGGAACCAACCTATCGGATGTTTCTTTCTCTATAACACACTAACCGCTCCTTAAATGTAAAGATCAATTTTGTAATTCTCTTTTATGGGTCAAATTTAAAGTGTCTCACATCGAGTTACCTTTAATTTAAAAACCGGCTTGACACTTCCTTGTAAAGCCCAATTCAAGTCAGCACTTGACTCGGCAGTTTTGACCGTGAAATATCATCACCGCTTAACTGTCTTGGTAAATTTCAAGTAATTACTATACCAATTTGTTATTATGCTTCGAAAATGACACTTATCTTTATGTAGGGGAAATTTAATATTCATAGGAATTCTAATATTTATAGGAATGTTGTTGTAACTTCTTAAAAAGTAAAATATTTAGTTTCATTGACAGATCCCTCTGCAAGCAAGAAGACCTAGATTCGATGCTCAAAAGAAGCACAATATTTTTAGTGGACGTGGGAATATAATGATATCTTGAAATAAAATGCTTTTTGTTTTTAAGCACATATCTCATGTGTTCAGAAAGCCAAACAGATCATTTAAACATGGAAACGAAACAAAAACTCAAAATTTTAAAAGACAGGAGTAGTTTACTTTAATATCTACCAGTTGAACAATTAAGAATCTGTCTATAGTTTACGCGAGTAGTACACATTTAAATAAAACACTTTAACGGATTAAAACCCGTTGCAGCAGCCGTGGTCTCCCCGTGACCACGGCTGCTGCAAAGCATCCGAAACGTCGGGCCGAAGTTAAAAATCATTTTCAAATAAGTTTAACTAATATATCGCGTTTTAAACCGTTAAAGTTTAGAAGTATTTAAAATAAAGAATCTTTTACTACCTCATTAAGTAACTTAAACTTTTTCAATTAAAATACTCGTTTGTTTTTTTGTCAGGAAACCAACGTGTAGTGAACTAGTTAATTTTTTTTCATTTGTTTCAACGACCGTGACAGTTTCCAGTTGAACTATTTGGCGCGTCCGTATAAATATTAGTTTCTTTATATATAAATATTTTTTACTAGTAGTAGTAGAGACATAGAGTTGATATCAAATCCCTCTAGATCGTTTATATACTCTAACCACAGCATTATGCAGGGGAAGTCGTACAGTGTACGTTTCAGTTGCAGTCCGTAAAACTTAAATGTCAAAGCCTAAAATAAATGAGACTATTTTAATAAACATAATTTTACTCAATGACGATCCAAGTCATTCTGTTAATCATTTATAACAGTTCGTTTACTGTGATTATTGTGGTATTGTTGTCATAAATTGGAATCGCATGGCGCAGCATTTGCGTGTTTATGCCGCTTGTTTCTTAACTAATCCTAGTCTAATGTAATCTATACGTTTCCCAACCTTGGCCCCAAATGCAAACTGCTCGCATCATGAACAATAATATCATCAAGACTGCCAAGTGCCAGCTCCTGTTTATTCATAACATTTTATCATTCTCGTATCAATTCATTAATTGACTGGAAATGTTGTAAAACGCTTTCATAGTTCAAGTATAAATCATTGTGTTGCTTTAATTGAATTCAACTTTTTACTGTACCTCGCAATACCAGTAGAAACTCCATAAAACCATTTACTCCTGTAAACAAATCTAGGGTCATTTTCATCGATTTCAACGAATATAATAAAATAAATAACATCGATATGTTTGCCGATTCCATACTAGTATTTAAAAATAAAATTAGTACTTATTTCATCTCCCCACCTTATAACTAATTGTTATTTTTCTTATTTATAATTTACTTCTATATACATATATCATTTATTGGATCTTACGTAAGAATACTTGTTCAGAATAATCAACATTAGGGTTACATGTTGTAATCTAATGTTGTATCTTTGATTAAATAAATAAAAAACCTTCTTCCTTTTTTAAAGTTTAGTACCAAAACAAAAAGTATAGTATAGTCTGCGAGTATGTCGCATTATAAATAATTATTATCTTATATAAATATTATTAATATTTACCATATAAATTGTTTTTATTTTATTTATTTCTTTATTAAATAATCAATAGAAGGTTACACAATGTAACAATATATTAGAGTTAGAGTGAAGACTAGGTTTTAAACTCTTTTGACATATCAGTAATATTCTAGAATTGCTCGCGGGTAATTATTGCTATTAATAAACTGATTGCTTCAATAAATGAAGCAATGGATTTTATTAGGTGTTGCATTAGTGACAACATTCGTTATTTATGGTTTTTGTAACTCGACTCGCGTATTTTTATGCGACTTCAGTGATTATTAGGAAACTTGTATGTATGTTCTCGCGCAGTGTATGTTATATATGTTAGTTATAGTTTTCTGAAAATCTTAGTTGGAATCTGGTCACATGGGCTTTAAAGGTGTCTTTTTTAAACATGAATGCTATAAAAGTTTTTGGGAAGTAACATATTGTTAACAACCAACAATATTTTGTATTAAAACCTGAAGTTCAGATGAATATATAGGTATGTTTAAAATATATGGTAATAGTAATAAGAACATAACCGCTTTATTCGATTTTTGTTAACTTTCAGTAATCCCAAGCCAAGGGGCTCACAAGGAGAAACCAAGGCTCCCAGAAGATGAGGAGTCTGGCCCTGATGTCGTATCAGCCGTGATCGGGGAGTATGGACGCTGGCAACTATTGATGACGTTCCTTCTATCGCTCTTCTCATTCCCTTGCACATTCCACATCTTCTTGCCTACCTTCACGGTAAGAAGTCTTTTTCTTGTTATGTGTAATGTATAAATAATAACTGAACAATTGAATTAATGAAAGAATAGATATCTTCCCCCCCCATTTTTTCTAGATAGTCCCAGCCTGAAAATTTAAATAAACCCTTTTTTACCAAAATACCACTATTTTGGTCAAATATATTCTATCTAAAGATTTTTCTGTAATTATTACATTAATTTCATAAGTCTTACTGACGTATAAAAATGAATGATCGATCAATTGGTTTAATGACAAAAAAAATGGTTATTAAATTCAGATAGAAATACATTTTATAAGGGTACTTGAAGTTGCTTCCCCAGTATTTAAAACTAGTCCCTACCAGATAAATCTCGCTGTCTGAAGCACGTATCTTCTAACAATTGAGGAGCAGGAAAATCACATATATAAGTGCTTAGTTGTTTTACATAACCCACATGTTATCATGCGCTAGTTCCCACAGTTGGGACTTGGGATTCTTAGTAACACAAAACCTTTATCAGGTTGGGATGGAGACAAATGAAACATTTCGTTAAATTGCTTTTGGGTTCACACTTGCCTGATGTTTTTTTTGCGCTCGTGTACAGAAGAGATTGCTTTAATATAATCCGAAGTCGACCATACCATTCGTTCAGCATGACCCAGAAAATTTGAATACTGATATTCATGATATTTTATTTTCAGGCGAAGGCAACAAAATACTGGTGTCAACGACCTGAAAATCTATCGATCGTTTCCCTAGACAGATGGATAAACTACAGTCAGCCAAATGACGCTTGCTACGTCCGCTCACTAACAGAAAATGTGACAGCAGCAAGTATTATGAACTGGACCGCCCCAGAAATACCCCTCTTTCAAAAGTGCCAAGAATGGGGCTTCGATCGAAGCGAAGTTGGGGATACTATAATCTCTGAATGGAATCTTGTGTGCGATAAAGAGAATCTGACGAGTCTTGCGGAGGTAGTGTTTTTGATTGGTGTGGGGATCGGGGGTGTTGTTGGGGGATGGATTTCAGATAGGTAAGACAACTTTTTGTAGATGTTGATTTATGAGAATAATTCACTTATCAGTAGTACCTATTTAAATAAAACACTGTAACGGTTTAAAACGCGAAATATATTAGATATTTGAAAATTATTTTAACTACGGCCCGACATTTTGGCTAGTTTGCAGCAGCCGTGATCACGGTGATGTCACTCATAGTTAGGTAAGTTATTATATTGCAAAATTTAAACATCTTCTTGTAGAAGTCGAAGGGTTGAGTGGGACGAATTCGGCCACGAATGTTCTATCACAATGCCTGAACTACCGAACTTATAAAGATAATTCTGTTATAACAACTGACTCAAAATTTAGATCTGTAAGATGATATGACATGTAAGAACAAACCGACTTAATTTATTTCATAAAACACTGTTCAAGTACAGTTCCTATGTACTTATCATTCTAGTTACGGCACATTTTTTGTTTCATATGAAAATTCCGTGAATTATCGCTCAAAACCTACTTGAAATAAACAACAAAGTAATTAGCAACGATCACATTAATAACAATTAACGCAAAAAGTCTTATGATTAAGAAATCTAAACTCGGGCTATAAACTAATTTTGTTAACCTACGACGTATATGTACGTGTAGATTAATCTTTATTTTTCTAGTAGCTAAGAACTTCTACTCTATATTATATAGAAGATGTAAATTCAGGGTCATTTAAAACAAAATGTTTATATTTTTTAGATAATATTCCTAGATAATTTCGCATACTGCATGTATTGGCTTCTGCTGACAATGTATTATATAAGTAAACAAATAAATAAATTGATGTTGTGTGTTAAGTGCCGGAAATTTTGTTTTACCTATATGGGATATGAAGCAGACCTACACCTGTCCTGTTTCACTAATCAAGATCAATAATCACGTACCCTGTCTGATGACTTATGCTTTCCCGGAATTCAAACTAAGAATCTCTCGTACCTTACGCAGCGCTAAGAAGCGCGTTTAGCCATAGAGATCTATACTAAAGTTTTGAAAACCATATTCAGCAAAATGTAATGCACATACTCCATTAAGTATGTGATAATTACCTTAAAGGATGTAACATATTAAAATGCACAACGCTATGTGTATTTACTTTGTAGAATAGATTAAATATTTTTTTGAAATAATTGTTTCATGTACGATGATATGCAGTAGGTAAAATATCAAATAACCTTCTATTATTTTAACATTGCACCACAAGAACAACAGACATTAACTACAATATATTCGCATAAAATTAAGATTATCCTTAATATTTGTGTAGTGCTTTTAAAATTAAAATTTTAGCGTCGTATTCAGAAATAAAAGCGTGAAATAAGTATTTGTGTCGGGCAGGTCTCAGAACTCTGAAATGCCTTGCCTGATGATCAAAATCAGTGAAACAATTATTACAATATAAGGGAAGGAGATATTTCTTGTTATATACTAAATTACGCATATAAAAATATTCTTGGCAAAATAAAAGGGTATTCAAATCATTATAAAACAAGTAGCGTTTAAAAACTTCAATATCTTTTACATTTTATTGAACATAATAGTACTTACTATATAGATTAATTTATCAATAAATTGAAAAAATTGGACGATGAAGTGTGAGACTCGGTAGCTCAATTGGTTAGAATAACAGCACTGAACGCTGACGATGCCGGTTCAAGTCCTGCCCGAGTCGAAAAACTGTTTCAATTTATTTTCGATTTTAAACCCGTAGTGATATACTTATTGTAGGCTTTAACATCTGATTACATAATATTTTCATTTCAGATTTGGGAGAAAACGCATTCTCATGGCGATGTCAGTAGCGCAGAGTGCATTGGCGATTCTGTCTCTTTTAGTGAGCTCATATATGCAATATGTAGCAGTAAGACTTATAATGGGGCTCGTATCAGTGTCTGTGGTATATGCGGCGTTTGTGTTATCTGTGGAGCTCGTTGGCGGGAAATGGGTGACGATCGCGGGCGTTTGCAACTTTTTCCCTCTACCCCTGGCGTATGTTATCGTGTCTCTATTATCTATGGTTATGCCTAATTGGAGGGATCTTCAGTTGGCGTTGTCTTTACCGGGCTGCTTACTTATAGTGCTATGGTAAGTTAACAGATTGTGCAAAATATAAAAACCCACATACATTTTCAAAATATTGCCAGTTTAAAAATAAATCTTATTCAAATACTGTAATTAAATAAGAGCACATAAATAATGACGAAATTCATTGGTTTTTCAGGTTTGTCTTACCCGAATCTCCAAGATGGCTCCTGAGCATGGGACGTACACAGGAAGCCAAAGTGATACTAGAAAAAGCGGCAAAATTCAACAACAAACAACTTCCGGTGGACATAGACAAGCTGTTATTAGTCTACAAAATAGATACGAAAACGGAAGACCCGAGTGTGTTTATGCTACTCCGAGGATACCTCTTAAAGAGGACAATCTGTTTATTCGTAGCGTGGTTCGCTATGACGATAGCGTATTACGGACTGTTGTTAAACATAGGAAACTTTAACCTTGGTAACTTGCACGTGACATCTATAATTCTAGCCGTAGTAGAAATTCCGGCGATAGGTTTGAGTATTCCTATATTGTTAAAGGCTGGGCGAAGATTCCCTATATTTATAACCATGGTGGTATGCGGTCTGGCCTGTGTAGCCAGTGAGATTTTGTCCATATCATTTGAGAACCCATGGGCGATGATATCGTGTCTCATGGTGGGGAAGTTCGCGATCGGAGCAACGAATATGATGCTGCCCATATTCACCGCCGAGTTATATCCCACTGTGGTACGGAATTTGGGAGTTGGTGTCAGTCAGATTTCCTCTGGATTGGCGCTTATTTGCATACCGTATTTGTGGAGATTGGTAGGTATCATTTATAATTAAATTATATTGTTCTAAACAAAAAGATGTAGTAAGGAATGGTTACTAACTCATATTTTTCCTCGCTTTCCGTGGTTATGTATTTTGTTTCGCCAATTATTTTGAAGCTGTTCTTGCAAAGGATTCTATTCAATATTATCCTCATGTAATTTATATCTTACCTCAATTATATGAATTTTACAACTGTGAGAAAAACAATTGAATTAGCGTTCAAACCTTTGTAATGCAATCCACGTTATCAAGTTTTCCTTTACAATAGATACAACTTTGGTGTTATAAGCAAAACGTTTATAACGCCAAAGTATTATTGCTACTCGTTCTAGAACGAACTCGTTATCTAGTGTAGGGTTAAAAATAATATTCAAAATATGTTTTCTTCTTACAGACGGCTTTTAATGAACATCTACCGATGGTAACCATAGCTGCGATGAGCGCTGCAGGGGGCGCCACTATACTAGCATTACCGGACACGACGAACGGGAAAGCTAAAGTGTAAGTAATTTATGACTAAAAATAGATAAAATCTTGTATCAGTAATAACCGAAGCATTTGACTTTGAGACGAGAAGACTTTGAATGAAACAATTTACGTATTTTAGAACAATTGCTAAAAACATAATATCAGGAAGAATAAAATAATTTGGTAACCTAACACTCCTTAATTCCTTATTAAATTACAAAATGCAACATTGTTTTTTTGAATCAACGAGAGCTTATTAAATTTCAGGAGCACAGAAAGCGTACCATCAAGTAATGGAACATATACTACTACTGACGATAGAGGGCGCTGATCACCATCGAGTTTTAAAAATGTGTTTTAACTGTAATTTGTGTATTCAAAAGATATTTTTGTATAAAGATAGATTATGATTTCGAATTTATAGAAATAATAATGCCTTATATGCATAAGAAATAATTGTTAAGGCAAGTTTTTAATTTCTTGTTAAAAACTCCTAGGTTAATGACAGCTTTAAGCTTTACTATAAGGGAATAAAATTCTTTTTTTTATATTTTGTCGTATAATATAAATTTTTTAGCTTGATTAATTCGTAACTGAAGCTCTGTTCTACTTCTAGATTTTAGCAACGTTTTGTAGTAATGAATGTAATATTTGTAAATAAGTATAAACGTATGTTCTACCTATATTAGGTAATATATTTTTAATATTACAAAGTTTAACTCATTCCATCATGTCTGCAGATTTTGTCAACTTTTATTGGATAAGTTAATTCTATGTTACGTTGTACAAATTTTAGATTATAACATATAATGTATACTTTAACTAAATGTAAGAAGCGGATTTACTATTTATTAAGCTCCATATAATCAATCTTTGGTGACATTTTTACTAAAATTTTAAGTGGTACTTAATTTGCTACAATCATTTACTATTTTTTCTTTTTGATAAAATCTTTATGGACGAATTTAATGATAGGTAAGTATAGTTAAAAGATATTAATGATATAACTGTAGTTTTACTTTAATGGAATTATTGTCAATTAAGTAAAACCGAATGTACCTAATATTACGTAATTTAATTAAACAATAATAAAATTGTAAACAAGAACAAGTAAATGGTTTAAAAATCGAAAACAAATTGAAAAAAATTTCGACTCGGGCAGGACTTGAACCGGCATCGTCAGCGTTCCGTGCTGTGATGTTTTCAATTTATTTTCGATTTTTAAATTATATAGTGCCTTCATGTGCAATAACATGTAAAAAATAATAAAGTTTTCAAAGTAAATGGTTTATTATTTTTATTTAGCTCTAGCGGATTTCAAGAAAAAAAACTTTAATACAAATCAAGTAGGGAGACACTAAAATTACATGAACATTGGTATTATTCATTTTTAAGTAAACCCATGAATGTTGATTGTGAATAAAACCAAGAGTTGAATAACATTAAATGACACTCAGGTGGCTTTACATCATAAACGTCGGGTCAACGTTTGTGTTTCAATCCGTTAAATTCTTCTATCGATTGAGCCTGTATCACTCGCGTAAACGTGTTGTATGTAAAGACACTAATAAAAAATTGTCTTTGATATAACGAAGGAACGAACTAGCTAACACGTGTATATATTTAATGATATAGATCGTTGACTCGTTTGAGGCGCCATTACAAAATGTGTGTAACGGTGACACCATGGCCGTCAATCGCTCGAATACGCGATTTGCATTATATTGCATATGAAAGTACCTCTACACATTAACACGAGTTGAACCAGATATACTTCACATAAAATTTAAACTTTTTTTTAATGTTAGCGATGGACAGCTAAGAAGGGGGTTCCATTGATGGTAGATGATATACCCCCAGCCTATAGCATCTAAACAAGAAGTGTGGCCGACTTATATTGGATTTGGATATTCGGAAATCCACAGACTGAAACCGAAACGCGATTAAGCTTCGCGGCTTTTCCAACTTAAAGGAATATGAAAGCACTAAGATTTTTTATATTGTAAGTGTTCTAAATACGAAGCAAAATTAACACTAATCTTTGCTTTGCTTTGCATTTTTATACTTGCAATAAAAAATGAATTAATATTCAGACAAAAATTCTTGTACATTAAAAATATAAAAAATGTAACTGGCACAAACACGTGCACAAATAAAAAAAGTTATTACAAAGTGTCAGGTACATTTAACAACAAAGTTTATCAATATCAGTTTCAGCGTGTATGAGAAATGAATAAACGTAATATGAATATAAAGGTATATGAAAAAGGAATAAGTAACAAACGAGCACACGGAAACAGTGGAACACATTCTATCGGAATGTCCTATGGGCATGACGGCTAGGTTGAACCTGGAAAATTACGCGGAACTCGAGGCATGCAAAGAAAATTACAATATAATGATAAGCAATACAAAAATAAGACCTCAATTTTTAACATACTGTACAGAAATCGCCAAACCAGTGTTTAAACGGAACGACAGAAGTGACAGAATATAAGAAATGTGCGTTCAAATATAGCATAATACTTGTTAACAGTTAAAAAAAAAGTATAAATGTTTAAAAAAAAAATTTGAAAATCGAAAATAAATTGAAAAAATTTTCGACTCGGGCAGAACATCGAAAAATTTTTCAATTTATTTTCGATTTTTAAATTATATAGTGCCTTCATGTGCAATAACATGTGAAAAATATTAATGTTTTGAAAAGTATAAATGTAATATAAAGGTTTCTTTCCAAGTGAAAGGGGAGATCCTGAATTCTTAATTTAAAAAAAAAATTATAAATCCGATTTTCTACGGCAGTTTAAAATAATAAAAATAATGCTTTTGTCTTTTGTCTTGTTTGTTGAAAGAAGACTTTTAAGCAACATAAAGTAAGGTATTAAAATACATTTATCTTCAACACATTTTTGCTATATTTTTTAAAGTTTTTTGTTACAAGTCCCTCTTGTATGATCGATTCACGATAGAGTGTTTAATTTATGTCTCAATATTTTCATTACCATGATTTGCCTAAACTTGCATGCGATAGTGTCATTAACCTCCGAAACCTGACATAGATACATAAATACATTTCGCTATGAATATGACCTCGTAACAGGTCCCATTGTATGCGCTTGCGCCGTATCGAAACGTGCGCCGTTCATGGCGATATGGGGCGCATAACGTTACTCTGTCCTGTTCGTTCTTTATATTAGAGTAAAATATTGTATGACGTCTACTGCGGATAGGATATAGCGTCGTACAGATAAGCTTCAGCATAAGTCGTCGAGGATTAAACGAGTTTACAGTCTTTGGACAAAATTTGGACAGCATTAGCAAAAGCAGTTAATAGATTTGTCTGCGGTGGAGTCGGGTTATTATTTATTTACTTGTAATAAAAAATGATTAGTGAAACACAAGAAGTTCGTATAACCTATTATTTTCGTAGTGGAAAATACCCTTATTTTCTTTTGTCATACTGACATACTGGTGACTTAAAAAACGAAGAAGGAAATACCGGTACCAACATTTCCTTTCTGTTAACATGTGTTTGCATGTTTCTTCATATATCGCGCCAATATTGCTGTTACTATAATATTATAAATAATAAACAATCCTGAATTCTAAAATACTAATATATGTTAAAGTAACACAAAATAACATAGAAGCAATATTTGTTATTTAAAAAGACTCAGTACATGTAAGATCTGGCCCAGTCTTTAATAAACAGACTCAAGTTGACACATTTTTATCGATTTAACTTTCATTATAGGACTAGAACGACAAGCGGCGACTAAGGTGTCTTATACGTTCACTTTTCTCACAAGAATTCATTTTCGCTACTTGAAATCGAATCAAGAAAAACAAGATGTAAGTTGTTTTAGGTTAGGGAAAAAGACAACGCGTATTTGTTGACAAATTAAATTTCATTAATCAATTATGTAATAGTGTAACTAATAAAATTACGTATTTACTTTCTAGATTGTACACTCGACTAACTTAAGATTGGCAAATCTATCTCTGCTTGTATATCATTTTTTTAGTAGTTTTACACGATGTAGTGAAGAAGACAAAACTGAAAACATCTATACTAATATGCGAAAGTAACTCTTTCTATCTGTCCGGCGTTAACTCCGAAACTACTGAATTGATTTAAATGAAATTTAGCACACAGATATTTTAGAGCCTGAGAAAGGACATAGGCTACATTTTAATGCCAAAAAAGGGTTGATTAAAAATTCTACTCCAAGTCACTATTCCACGCGGACGAAGTCGCGGGCACAGCTAGTATCCAATAAACCTGAAACAAAACCTATAAAGAATTTAAAAAGTCTTATTATTTTTACAATTAAAGAAGGTAGATTCAAGCCCTGCAAAGGATTCAGTGCAAACCAGCCAAGCCTACGCAAGAGCCAAAGAAATGTCATCGACGTCTCACCCCGCATAAGGAGCTTATGTTAAGTCGCAAAAATACACTATTGCGTCTTCCCTCACTGAACACTTTCTTGTGCGTGACTCGACTGCACTTGTCTGATGTAACAAGTGATTTTGTTATCCTTACGCATTCAGTACATCCGCGAGAACATTGTTATCTAATATTACGCGAACGTGGAAATATGTAGACGTATATATCTTGATTGGGCGTACTGCACTTTAGCCATATGTCGCAAGTCCACAAACGAAAGTAATGTATGAAATTTTATTTCCCTCATCAAAAGCAAAGCCAAACATAATATATTTGTGAATACCTCATATTATTTATCGATAAGTTGATAAGTCTGTCATTTTCGGCTAGGCCAAATATAACTGGATATTCTAGGTTTATTAAGATAAAAAAGTAACTTTATTATCTACAGTCGAAATGACATCGAACGCTGAAAATAGTTACCTATACAATATAACTCTCCATTACTTAAATACTGTCTATAGTTTACGCGAGTACACATTAAAATAAAACACTTTAACGGTTTAAAACGCGATATATTAGTTAAACTTATTTGGAAATGATTTTTAACTTCGGCCTGACGCTTCGGATGCTTTGCAGCAGCCGTGGTCACGGGGAGACTCCATTACTTACCCATATTTAATTTAATGTGAAATCATTATGAACTTCAGTGGCCTTTAAAATAAATTAGAATAATGCATTATTATGCTTATCAGTTTTGCGCTATTCGTGACTGCTCAATCAGAGTAAGGCAAAATTATCTTTTGTCTTATACTTGTAAATATTTTACCGATATATTAATAAAAATGCAAGTCAATTTTTTTTTGGTATATTTATTTTTACTGCACACTTTCGAGTTCTTGATTTATTAAAGTAAGTAATTGTTTCGATATTTTATACAAATTAAGAATTTAGGAGTATAGGAAATGTATAGTTTTATGTACCTGCAAATTTATAAATCAATTAAAAGCTTCCACATAATTTCTTAACCTTTAAAGCCTCTTGAAGTAAATGAGTATGAGTACACGCCTGAGCTTTAGAGGGCGAGCAAGAATATTAAACTTTATTACGACACGGCCGATATTACAGTACAATGTTATTTCGATTGAATGCCAATTGTTCAGTGGAGAATAACTCGACGAATCGGATGTTACATAATCTGGTGGGTGTCAATTGCACATTTCAATGGCGATCAGGATGATAATATAATAACGTAGTACAGAGCCTTTACGCTACGTAGGTTTGTAGACTACATACCTAATTACCTAGTTTTATATTTCTCCGATGAATATTGTCTTGCAAAGAAATATTACTTGGATAGACTCCCTAAGAAATATGAAAAAGTTAAAACGCGATATACACCCGTGCGGCTTCTGCAAATCATCCGAAGCTTCGGGCTGTAGTTAACGTAATTTTCAAATAAGTTTAACTTCCATATTTCGCGTTTTAAACTTAAAGTGTTTTATTTAAATATGATAGTTTTATTTGAATATGAAGTTGTGTAGCGATATTTTAGAGACTTTTATATTTTATTGTACTTGTGTCTGGTTTTAGTGAGATGAAAATTAGATATTTTAATCAAATGTGAAAAATAACAACTTTTAAATAAAGTTCAATTAGTTAAAAAATGAAAATCCTGAAATTTTAATATGTCGAATTTAAAATCATATGGTCTATGTAAGCGGTTGATGTCTTGTTGTTTACTTGTACTTAGTACTAGTTGCGAGATCTATAACTAGGTTAATGTTCTAAATAAAGTCTATATTGATTAATATCGTGTTTTTAATGTAAGTTATTTCTATTTCTCACGATATAGCCATAGCAAGACATAAAATGTATTACCCCACGTGTAGCGCCCTTAAAATTGCATTTTATTTCCAACTTCTTTTGTATTGAAATCATATTTTGATATATTGAATATATACTACTACATAAATATACGAATATGGACACATTTTGATAAATATGGTGTATTATTTTAAATTTACGGCAATTTAGTACAAACCCGGGACATATTTAATACAAACTATGTGTCACTAATACTTAAAGAGGTACATACACAGTCCCATTAGGATAACCGCGCACCAGAAAACATAATCACCCCTACGCAGTCGGGCGAAAGCTCTACGAATAGAGAATACGTCGAACTGTAATTAAGCATTTAGCGGTATCGTCAAGTGCGGCCGAATTGTAAAGGATTGTGCATAATAAGCGGCGCCGGAGCCGATATATGCTTTCACAGTCGGTCACCTTGTAATAAAGTATGGTAGTCGCGTATCGTTAGGGCGAGAGTGGGCGACCTCATATAGTTGGCGCGGGAGGTATTTCCTTTATTTGTTACTGGTGCACGGCGTGGTAGTGTTGTGTTAAGGACATCATGCGGACGTTACTGGTAAGTGGGGTTGTGGTCGATCGATCATAGTTGATTCGTTTTTATTTTCCAGCGAAATGCACTTCCTACTTCGATGAAGAAGAGTTTTCACTAGTCTTTTTATTAGGCTTGTTCGGATGACTTCCGATTTTAAATTAAAATACAGATGGTGTAATTATTCAAATGGATAAATGAATCATTAAGTGGACCGATTGCTGCCTTTCAGGGTTGTTTAATAGTAATTATTTATTTTTGCTGTTATTTTACTTTTTCTATTAACTATGAGAATTTTTACGGAAAAGAATAAATATTTTAATATGAGAATCTGATGAGGTTTTGTTTATTATTTAAAAATAATTATTCAAAGACCAATTTATAAGCTCTCATCATACCTGCATATTAATAAACGCGGACACAGTCGCATTCAGACATTCAATATTCATAGCTGGTACGTGGGTATTGATTACAGGCTAGCCTTGAGTCTATTGAGAAGGCGGTTTTCTCGCAACCTTTCAAAAATATGCCCTTTTTATTTCATAAAGCGGAACTAATTGTCCAATGTGCAAAATTCGCGTAAATTGTCCTATTCGAATGACGCAAGACACGCGATAGTTGTAACTAGCCCACTGTTGATTGTGGATTAACTAGATTGGTTAAACGAAACGAAATGTACCGTTCACCACAAAAACTATACATACAAAAATATGTAGAGTTGGTCTGTTAAGTGTTTAATTATTTTAACCAAAAAGAAATTTCACAAGGTATTTTTTATAGCAAAGAAAGTTTTAAATATACTCTAAAACATTAAGCTTTGCTTCTTGTGTTAATTATTTATAAAAAAAGCAGTAAATTCAGTTGAACTCCTCTCCTCCAATGTTATAGGAATGACAATAATCATGGTTAATTGTAAACCCAAGTAAACAATTTATCTAATAAAACGTGAGTAACTTGGGGAGTCCAATATAAGTGTAGCATTATAATTTAATATATCAGATACCGGTTCGCTGATTGCGATACGAGTATGGGAATTAAGAAATAAAAGAACAATTTTATGTACTATTACGAAATCTAGCGTTGGAAATCTCATCGATCTAGCATCAAAATTGTAGTTGAAGAAATTGTGATTTCGTTACGTTTGAATGCGAGACGTCACTTGAGAAGAAACCATAAGTGATGTATAACACAAGTGATGTACAAAATTGCACTAACCTTTAAACTTCTGCGCAAATAGTATGAAATACTCATATTACAAAATTTAGAAACATTCTTTTGAGGATGTCATGTCTTATAATATCATTTTATTTACATATTGGTAATTAAGAAAACATGAATCATAATCTAACAGGCAGTACCCGTAGTGACACACGTATTACTTTTTTTTATCGTAGAATTCTTGGTCTAACAAAAATATTAAAAAATGGAGAAAATCTGAAATCGTCAAGAAATATAATCACATCTATATAGATTTATACATAAGAACATTAATTTAGTTATAATAAGCAGCGACATATCTTGTTCAAATAGTGTCAATAGTTTTGGAGAAGTGTCGAGAACGAAACAAAAGCCTTCGTACCTCACTTATAATGGTTTAAAACGCGAACGATATTTTATAAGTATTATTTACGATTATAATCTAAAGCCTAACAATAGAATGGCACATTCCACTTGGCAGTGACCTTTAATAGCAAACTGTATTTGTAATATTAGGTTAGTACATTTTTTTTATATGTAATACAATTTCCTTTATTCATACTAGAATGCAATAAAAATTAGAACAAACTGATTTAATCAAATATATTTAGATTTAATTAATTTATTATTTGAATGATAGTCGAATCTTTAACTTGTTTATATATGCAATTATACTTAATTACGTATTGTACCTAATGTGTACCATATCACAAATTTTACTATAAAAATATTTTTGTTTAAGCAAGGTGTTGTGCACGTAGTTTCTTTTACAAATGAATAATAATTATTATGTATTTAGCACAACTTTACAATGTTACAATAACTTTAATTTTACATTACAATAAATTATTCGTTTTTAGATTTGTAGATTTTACAGGATATTTTTACATTAAATCTTTAGTACCTAATGTTTAATAAGATTTGATTGTTTCATAAAGTTAGTAAGATTCTTTTGTCGCAGTTTTGTTGGAAGTTATGAATAGAGATTACACTTATAGTATTGATCCAATAAGGAGTACGTATTACATAATATACAATATCTATTGCGGAAGCGTCGTTAAAAGCCATTGCTTCTAAGTACTGCTACTGTCTTTTGCCTTTCAAAACACGATTGTGATTCATAAAGTATTCAAGTAGCATTCCATACCATGACTAACTGAATTAAGCTTGTCTGTGACCTAAAATAAATAAATAGATCGTCCGAGTAGATCGCCCAAACAAAAGACTTCAACGCGCGCGCGGCGTGTTCAGCATTCGACAAGATATTGACAAAGTTACAATAAGGCCTCATCTGTGTACAATGCAAGAATAATATTCATTGTTCTTGCACACTTCTTTTACATGCATTGTTATTTGCCAATAATGAAAATACATTTAGGTCCCATAGGTACACATTGTTTTGTACATATGACTTTGAGATTAACTACTGTATCAAAAAAAAAAGTCAAGAATTAAATGTGTGGTTAAGAGTATGTTATATAAAATTAACAATGTATCTCAATGTTTTTCAAAAACGCGTCTGTATCAAATTCAAGAAACCAATGTTGGGTAATCGCTGCCATAAACCTGTAAATTTCACTAAAAATATAAGACACGACACCTTTTTTGTTGTTACAAATACCAACATGTGCATAAGTAAAATTAATGTTACACTTAATACATTATGCGACAACCTTGGCGGAAGTACTTGATGTCCTTACTACTGAAACTGACTTCTTTGACCGAGGCCTGACACTTAAATTCCAACCTTATAAATACATGTTATACTATTAGAAAAAGCCGACTCTAATAGCATATACTAGATTCCTGTTTAATTCGTGCAATGCCGCAGATATTTGCGTCTGCGTCCCAAGCGTCAAAACCTTATGCGTATGCGTTTTGTAAAGTTGTTAATTCTATGTCAGTAATAAGGCCTACAATTAAATTCAAATGTTTTTATATCTAAACATTTTTTACGATAGAGACAGATAAGCACAAGGTTCACTTAAAGAAAGCTAAGAAATACCTCAACCATAAAACATGTCAACAAGATGCGCTATCGACCTTTGGCTTTGAAAATTCTGAAATTATGACGGTGGTTCGTGACCCGGAAGGAATTTCGATTCAAAAAAATGCATACACGGTGGACATGAAACCCGCGGCCCGAACGACCACGAATAGATTGATTAACTATACAGTCTATTTTAGTAATCTTCGCATTTTATTATTTATGTAATTATATCGAAAATTTTGTGACTTTTTAGAAAAAACATTCTGAGGTTATTACACTCGTGCAGTAATATGCAATTTCATATGTATGCATACCGATTTATATTATATTATCGAATGCTCGCCGTCCATAACTCTGTATAGCGTGTATCGTTAGAAATTATATTAACGACACGGTGCAGAAGAAGATAGATATATTTAAATAAAACACTTTAACGGTTTAAAACGCGATATATTAGTTAAACTTATTTGAAAATGATTTTTAACTTCGGCCCGACGTTTCGGATGCTTTGCAGCAGCCGTGGTCACGGGGAGACTGCAAAGCATCCGAAACGTCGGGCCGAAGTTAAAAATCATTTTCAAATAAGTCTAACTAATATATCGCGTTTTAAACCGTTAAAGTGTTTTATTTAAATGTGTACTATTCGCGTAAACTATAGACAGTATTTAAGATAGATATATCATTGGTTGCGAAAACATCAATTGATACTTAGAAACAGAGAAACTTAATTTATGCATAAGCGATATTGCGACTCATTTCAGGCAACTAACCAGAAAGTAAAAAACGAGTCGATAACCATATATAGATATATAGTGTTGAGGTCGTCATGTTAATGAAACGAATGACCATCATTTTATTGAAAAAGCAATACATTAATTAAACTCGTATACAGAAAAAGTGTACAACACGTGTAATCGGTAACAAAGTTTTTTCTTGTAATCGAAATCGTTATGAGTTGTATGCAAAGTGTTTGCTAACAGAACATAACATGCGATTGGTCGCATTAATTACTAGCAAGTGAAATAATTTCTGATTAGCATCGGAAATCACTTCATTACGGTGTTGAAAGATAAAATTACGAGATTGTAATCGACCTACTGTTGTGAATATAACTGTCATTTGATTATATTTCAACATTTATATTTGGTAAATGAGGATGCACACGTTGCAAAAATTATAACATGAATGAGTAGAACTACGTATAAAATATTATTTTCAATCGTGACTAGGTACCCACATATATTCAAACACATATTACTTATTTGCGTAATTAAGAGAAATCGCGTTTCGATTTTTAAAGGAACTCCAATTATCTCCTTAGTTTGTTGTTCTGACGCCAGAATTCGATTTCTAAGCAAATAATTAGATGATAATAAAGATTTTCAACGCATTTATCGTTACATGTATTTTTCTTTGTTTCTTAATCGCTCCCATTAAGATATCAAGGATTACTGACTCCTACAAATGTATTTACTTCAACTTGTAGTCAAATAATTTACGGTTTTAAGTAAAAGGCATTAAGTGAAAAGGAGATCAAACAGGGCATGGCCGTTTATACAAGTCAGGTGCAGTGATTTTAAGCGTGGCGACTTGGCAAGGCCTATTACACTCGAAAGTATGCAATCGTTGCGCAGTAAATTCCAATGAAATGTGGTTTAATATCACGTCACAACAGAAGTAATATTTTGTGGTACGAGACAATCTATAAAAAATATAACCAATCTTTCTTTCCTTCCAGATATTATCGCTGTGTGCGGCCACAGTTTACGCACAGTTCGACGGGCCCACGCCACCGCGGCTCTCGATTCCCGGAGCTTTTCAAGTAGGAGGCGCCAGACAGGGCGGCTTCAGACAAGCGAGGATCCAAGCCGCTCCTATACCAATAGCCAGAGTGAGAAGGCCGGGACTCGCAAGACCATCTTTCAAATCCGTTGACGCAGCGCCTCGCCCCAGTCTCCAATCCCTGGACGAACCAGCCAAACCAGTCACCGAAGAACCAGAAGATGAGATAGAAATCAACACCCCAACAGCGTACGCCAATGCGTACTCGACCCCTGAACCTCAGAATGATTTCTTCGATATCACAACGACATCTCAGCCGAAACCACCAAGCGCCTACAACTCTTCACCTTACGCACAAACTACCCCGTCACTGCCAAAACTAGAAAACGTTAGGCCGACTCAATACCGGCCACTTCTACCGCAATCGTTCAGCCCGATTAGGAACGAGCCTAGGCCGCAGCCTGTAAGGTTACAGCCACTGTCCAGCAGGCCACAACGACCGGCAATTCGGCCGGAACCGAAGCCTTTCGTGGACGAAGAGGATATTCAACCTATTAGACAATACTCTAGGCCAACGCAAGAGCCAATTCGCGCACCAGTAAAGAACGTGCAAAAGTACGCTTCATCTAACCCCAGAGAAAAGAAGCCTGTATCGCAAATAATCAGGAAGTACAGAGAGGAGAATGAGGACGGCAGTATTACATGGGGTTTCGAAAACGACGATGGCACGTTCAAGGAAGAAACCATCGGTGTCGACTGCATAACTAGAGGCAAATATGGTTACATCGACCCCGACGGTCTAAGACGAGAATACAACTACGAGACTGGTATCGCCTGCGACAAGGCGAAGGAAGAGCAAGACCAAAAGGGCTTCGTGGACTACCAGGAAAACAAAGCAGTATTACCAAATGGTATCACGATTGATCTCAACGCTATGGGCAAGAAGTCGAAAAGGCCATTTAGATCGCCGAGTAATCACTAGAATATTAGTATAATGTATTTATTTTAGGATCCATAGTTTTAAGATGTCGTAATTTAGTACATGTACAATAATGTGAATGAATTACTTCAATAAATGTCTATAAAATCATAATCTCTATCCGTCTTTAATCTTTGCCTATTTAACATATTATATTCAAAATAGATAAAGAAAAGTTTTTTGTATTTCTATATTTACTTGACATACCACTTAATGCAACCAACTTTAAGACTATTCCAGTATAAAAACATATTTCCTTCTATTCAAGAGTCATAATCTACGTCGTATTTTTAGAAATGGGCTTCTCAACTGTACATATTCCGCATACGTACTTTTTACATTTTATGACAGATTTCTTTCATCTTATTATTATATTTACGATACCTTTTCTGACATGTTTTCCGTTCCTGGGAACTTTATGATATATAACATTGTGCGATGGATATTGCTTGATTTTCTTTGCCGAGCTCTTGTTGATAAAATAGTAATTCCTGTCTTGTAATTTCTCTTCGCGTAGTTTCTTTATATAACACCCATGCATTAACCCGGCTACATTTAACAATACTAGCAAAGGCGACCTCCGCGATTTAGATTTTACCGAATAATTTCTGGCCAAATGGCCAGAAATCGCGTAGATGTCACCGACCATTTGGTCGGTGACATCTACGCTATACTTGGTACTATTATATAATGGAATTGTCTCTGGTGGGCGGGTGTCATTTTTTTATTGGTCAGAGTTGTGCATTGATCTAAGAATTAGAACTGTCTTTCTAGGTTCAGCTTTGTAAACATACAATTATTTGAGCGATAGTTTGTTTGAAGAGTGCCATGTTGTCATTTTACAGTTTTGCTAGTCTTGGTAAAAAAGTTACCCATTTCTTCCACATCGTACATAAGGTTTTGCTAATTGAATAGTAACAAACTCTCCAAGAGGAACTGAGGGTTCTCTACTTTCATCTTTTCCCAAATATGGAAATCTGGAAAACATCGGATGCTAACCAAAATTGTATACCAAATTTTTCGGTTTGTTGAGCATATATTGAGTGAATCTACACAAAAAACAATAATAAGTAAATATTGAAAACTAAATCATACATATATGAGAAAATTGGTATAGTTTAAAGACGATTCACATACTTCAGATACAGGACATTCATTCAGGATAACTGAAGATTCAAAAACATTTATTTGACTAGTCCTAAAAGGACGAGTGTTAAAAAAACATCATATTATCTATCTTATAATTATTATTAAGGAAATAAATCACACACTTTATAACTATCAGTATGGGCGATTACTCATGTAAGGCTGAGGCCGTCTCATTTGGTGAGGCATTCTATTAGCTGGAGTAATCGAGATATCTAAATAATTTCCAATTTGAAACTTCACTTGTGATAAGGTTTTATTGTCATCATTTCCTCTCTGACCAGAACATGTTATACCAATCTCTCTCATTCTATAAGTTGGTGTCCTCATATCTGGGTATACTATTGCAAAATCAAAGTATGTTCCTTTACGTCGAGTCTCAGGGTTTACTTCTTTGACTAGGCTAGTTAGCTCTCTTAATGTAGCATCCATCCATGTATATATCTGCAGTTCATTTTGTGGTACACCACCTCTGGCGTAATCACCAGGGGAATTGTGTCGACCCGTGGCACAGAAGACCCGGAGAAGAAGGGGACATGTCTGAAAATAGATTTTTTCGTGAATAAATAATAAATCAGAACTTTTGGCCACCAGACTTTTTACACTATTTTATCCCATGCCTTACACTCATTATAATAGAACTTTTTCAAAAAAAAAATCCACGTTGATCAAACATTATTTCATACATTTTTAAGTGTTACTGAGTGAGGATTGTCTGCTGTGTATACGATTAGAACAAGTTAAAATAAAACTTACTAAACAGTTTAAAACGCGAAACGGTTTGGAGCAGCTGTGGTAACGTTGGGATATCCCTTTAATTAAAAGTGTGATGTTCATGTTATTGAGTACATTGTTTTTACCTTTTCTCTATCCACTGGCTTTTCCGCTGGCTTAACCTCTTCAACAACCATTGATTCCAGTCCTGCCATTTTCATTACCAGCACTTAGAAATACTTGTTTTTAAGGGATTGGATATCAATTTGCGCGGTGTATAACCGATGTGAAAGTATTACAATGTTTGAATTTGTAAATTAATTTACAGAAAACAAACAAACAACCGCAGCGTCTTCTGTTCAGAAACATGAAAATTTTTGGATTGACGTTTGACAGTTACAATGACAAAACGTTGTTTATACACACACAGATTATACTTGTACAGATTATACTGTACTATAAGTATAATACATCGATATTGTGATTATAACAATCTCGTTACACATGTATGGACCAAGAGAAAGTTATTTTTTTATTTACTGTTATTTGCATTTATTTGAACACAAAATTAGGGTCATTATGTTGTAAATTATTATTCGCTTCTAATAGGGTGTAATTTATTTATAATATACTATTCAGTAAGTCATTAATAGTCTGTGGTCGGTATTTTTAATTTGTTTTAATTTGTAGGTCTAGGTAATCGTAAATCGATTAATTCGATTGTTTTGCTTCAACAAAAACCTAAAATAGCTTCGGTAAATATTTTAGGATATTCACCTGCTAGTGTATCTTATAATTTTAAATTTAAAGTCGATATGGCTAATAAAGACGATGACGAGACGTTTCAAGAGGACGAAGTTTACATAAATCCTGAAGATGGAATGCCAAATGTTCATCCAAATATTGCCGATATTGAACAAGACAGTGATACTCATGACGAATTAAGCGAATTTGACGATCTGCCCAAGTCCGTGATAGTTACAAATATACATAGCGACGTGTTCTCAGACGAGAAATTGAAAAAAGAACTGGAGGCTTTGTTTCGTACGTTTTCCGACAATATAACGTTTCAGTGGTTAAAAAGTTTTAAACGACTTCGTGTGAATTACGATAGTCCCTTGGCCGCGGCTAACGCGAGAGTACAACTTCATCAACTTCCTTTTCATAATACGAGTATAAATTGTTATTTCGCCCAACCTGTGACGCCGATCTCCTTGAAGAATCTTAAACCACCTGCGCCTGTTAAGCAATTTCTCATATCTCCGCCGGCTAGCCCGCCTGTAGGATGGGCGCCGAGAGAGGAAGGGGAACCTATAGTAAATGCAGATTTACTAGCAGCTATAGCCAGCCTAGCGCCTGGGGAAAGTCATGAGTTGCATGCACCTACACCCACTCAACCTGCTATTATTGTTCACACGGCCCTGTCCTCGGACCCAACTGCGCCCATTACTTGTAAGATACAACATACACGTTGCCCTGAATACTGAGATGCCTTGAGAGTAAATGAATCATATTTTTAGAGTAGCAATCTGATGCTTTTTCCATCACAAAGTCAAAGTGATGCCAAAGATATTGCAGATATAATATTATGTTTATTAGGTTACAAATGTTTTATGTGCTTGGGCATTGGCAGATAATTGGAATAATGTACATTATTTAAAGTCTTTAATTAATACAAAGTTGTTGTATTAGAAATTAACTTAAAAAAAACATAATACTTTCTATTTAAACTTTACTTTATATGGGAATAGCTAAAGTTTAAAATCTAATTATTTTCAGGTTTTTGATCATTATCTGTGAATGCCCATGCTTGCCATGAAAATAGAGAAATTTGCTTATTCATTTATTTGACAAGTAAATTATTAAAATTATATTGGTGCTATTTTTTGAATGACATAACATTTATGTTCTCAGTTATTAGATAAATATAGATTTAATTTTAGATATGTATATAAATATGGAACACCAATATTTATATTTGTTGAAACTGGAAAGAAAGATCCAAAATTAATTATAAGTATTGTTAGGAAAATGCAAAATGTTAAAATAACATATCATATTTTATGCCCACTTCAATTTGTTTACCAACTTTGCTCAACTTGGCTAAATCCTAATTTTACTACTTATGATATGCGCTTTTTGAGCTAATGGTTGTAAAAAGGGGTTTTATGACCAAAACATTGAACTTCTTAAGAATTTATTATTTTAATTGATTTTAAAGCTGCAACACCTTTTAAAATGTACTTAAAATATTTTAGCGTACACATTAAACATTCTAATCACAGTTATAGTTGTGTTTAAATATCATATAGTAATGTATTTATTGTTTATGGTCTATTTGTGCTAAATTTTTATGTTGTGGCCTCATAATGTATCTTATTCACTTAAAGTACTACTAATTACAAAGATATGTTTGAAGTAATTAAATGATTTCACAAAAAGTATATAGGAATGTAACACATTTCTCTTCATGTGTATAATTTGAACCAGGAAAGTATTAAATCTCTTTAGATTACTGAAGGTTTACTATCTATGGTTAATCTTGTAAGCTTATTGAATTATACATTGCAATAATCACAGACAATACAATTAACTCACTTAGCTTTGCTATTTATGTAATACTAGTATTAGTGTTGTAATTTAATTGGCGCGAAATATTAAGTTTCTTTGTATGTACGCAGCTATATTTTCTGAGCCAGCCAATATTTTTTTAATGATGTTATTTATACTAGGTAAGCAGGTCACTTATAAATTTATGTCGTGTATCGATGTTCATGTTGATTTTTTATCATTATAATGTTTCTCATATTACCGTCTGGATGTTTATCTTACTGTGATTTCGATATATTGTTTGATGTAAATATATAATATTGAGTTTAAATTTCTTTGGTTTCTGCAACTACCTTTGTACATAATACTTCTGCACCAAAGGAGTGTACTAAGTTGATTTATTACCATTGAGACTCTTGTTCCGTATTGTTTACTTAGAACCGACGTACACAGGACTTCTATCGCAATGCCAGGCAGTGAAGATACCTATTGAGCCACTGGATTGGTTCATACATAGTAAAACATATTGATTTCAGTAAAGGAAAGACAGCCTTAATGACTTCTATGGAAAGGAATACAAGTTGTGTTGCAAAACCCACATATAATAAGCATAAAAGCAAAGGTATTGCTTAAATAATTGTTTATTTAGAAATGCAACAGATATTTAATTACACATACAAAATGTTTAAATGCATAAGAGGGCAACAAATCTCAGTTGTATAAAAACAAGTATATTTTATACGTCTAAATTTGAAATAGGATCTTGTTCATTTCTTGCGTCACAGGGAGCAACATACAAAAATGCATGTTTCAGACAAAAAGTTTGTCTGAAACATGGGTTGTACGATACACAGATAGGTGTAACAATATAAAAATCTGTATTTTTTTTAAAGATATTTAAGATCCTAGGCTAATAAAAAGCAAATTTTGTGTAGGAACTAATTTGATGAAATACAATGGCATATTACACATCAGAACGTAGACATTTTTGTTTATATGGCACATCTATAACACGAAATACGTAGCCCTCTTTTATAATCTTGTTAAGTACATATTATTATAATGCTAAATTTCAACATACGCAAGTTACATTAAAATAGTAGGTACTTTGTACTTTCGTGATATGCACAGTATTACAACATTTGTATTGAACGTTTTTCGGGTCTACGCCTACATCTAACTAGCTTTTAATTAAATTTCTAATTATTCTACTTTAGCTAACTATAACGTCACTTTCAATAAAAGATACTGGCCGTTTACCTATTATTTGAAACTTTGAGGTAGCTGTTATTGGTTAGTACCTTAAGTTATTGGCGTTTTCTTAACAAATAGTATCGATTTAGATTTAGCAAATAGAAAGTTGTTAGACTACTTAAGTTATATAAGTTTAAGGTATACTTACGATAATATAAATACTGTTTTTCAATAATTCTATACGCCATTATAAATCTCACAAATTTTTAACAATGTACTGTATTGTGATTTTCTTAATTAACAGGAAGTAAATAGATATTGCATACAGATCTTTACTTAGACTTCTAGTAAATGGACGGCTGATTACTAAACTAAGAACCCTCACCTTTTATCCTAATTATATCTGATTATAAAATAAGTTTAATTTCTTGGAGCAGCAGCTGTTTGTGGAGGCACCATCGATTCAGCGGCTTCCTCGTCACCCTCGCCATAGGATTTATCGGATCTACCGAAACAACTAGAGAACCAAGTGTCTCCTTTGCCAAATTTCTCCCCATCTGCAATACTTTCCGGCAATGGCTTATTCATTGTTTCCGGGAGAAACAGACAGAGAAATCCCGATACAACAGCGAAGAGGCCAAACGTTATGGCGGGAATTTTCGCATCGAAGCTTTCCAGCAGCGTAATAAGTGGAGTCAGAGCACCGCTGAGTCGAGCAAACATTGATCCTAAACCTAAAGCAGTATTCCGCAGTACCGTGGGGAACAATTCACAAGAATAATTATACGCTATAGCAAACGATGCGGCTATGAAGAGTTTACCTATTACTACAATCACAGTTGTGATGATCCGTCCTGCTGGTAAAAAGGCGGCCACAATGCATGCACCGCCACCTATCAACATGGCAATGCTGATAAATGACCTGCGACCCCATACATCTAAGAAATAAAATACCACGACGTAACTTGGAATGTCTACGAGACCAAATATGGCTATAATTAGGTACGGATTACCCTCCATTTTTCCAGAGCTAAGAGTAAGTCCGTAATACACCAAAGAATTTGCGAACCAGCACAGGCACATAATTACAGACATGGTCCTCAAATGCGAGGTTTTGAAGAGATCAAGGGTGCCAGCTGCCACTTTGGTTTCTGAAATTTCTTTCTCAGCAGCCTCTTGCTTTGCTTTCGATAGATATTCGGCGGTATCCAAAACTACATCGGATTTGTTAAATTTGAGCGCCTTTTGTACTATTTTCACAGCTTCTCTCGTTTGTCCCTGTGCCCAAAGCCACCTGGGCGATTCATCCATAATCCATATATGCGGTATTAGAATGCAACTGTGTAGTCCATATACTATTTGCAGCACAGTTTTATCGTCTACGAGCGAACCCCAAACAGCGACACAAATCATTCCAGCAGAAAAGCAACAGTGGAAAACAACGCTGCACTTCGTTCGTTTACTTGGTCCCACGATTTCCATTGTTAAAACGAATGCTGGGATGAAGGCGCCGGCCGAACCAAACATTCCGTAAAAGAATGTGAACACCATATATGGCCAATAATCTGGAACGAATGCTACGATCACGCCAAGAAGTAATTGTAGCAGTGCCGACCAGCAAAACACTGTTTTCCTTCCCACTTTATCGGCAAGACGGCCAAGGATTATTGCTCCAGCAAAAACGCCTAACATATAAAATGTTTGAACCAGAGCTCCTTTCCATGTATCCTCGCAAACTAGGTTCCATTGCATGCCCCGAGAAGACTCTCTGTAGGTGGTATCGAATACCCATTTAGAACACCCGCTCGTGGTGTTGTTCTCAGTATATATCAGACATTTGTGAAGTTTTCCAGTTTCTGTTATTGGAATAGCTTCTATAACTCCTGTCGAGTTCCAGTGAGCCACAGATCCCTCAATATCTACGCCGTTTACCCAGCACCTGGAAAACAAAAAACCTATGGTTATTTACTACATAACGTAATTTAAAATTATAAATTGTGATTACTGTTCTAAATAAGTTAGCATTAGAAGATAGGTGTATTGTCTTCGTAAAATAAAATTTAAGCATTACATGCATTATGCAGTTCCTGTTTAGGTACCTATTATATGATTAATATACATTAAGTATATACCTAAGCAAGATACTATTAAGATCCTTTTAATTTAAATCGTTTTCTTATATTACTTGAAAAGTGAGGATTTTCTTATGTAAATTTATTTATTTTTACAGTGAAAAGTTGTTGAAATTATTAGTCTCGAATGAGAATAACATGTTAATATAATTTGAGCGGGGAACGTCTTCTGTGTTTAAGTGTGAAATAAAAAATTATTTTTAAATAAAACACTTTAACGGTTTAAAACGCGATATATTATTTTCGATTTTTAAACCGTTAAAGTGTTTTATTTAAATGTGCACTACTCGCGTAAACTATAGACAGTATTTAAAAAAATACTTTTTACAGGTGAAGATGTGGATATAAATTAAAGAAATCTGACATCAAAAATATTTATTTCTCTCTTCATACTTTGGTTGTATTAGGAAATTTATTTGTACGGTCGTTTCCTTAGCACTAATGGTTTACAACTCCCTTTATTAAGGCACACAAAGATTTTTACAGTGAGAAAAATTACTACATCTAATTATGCTATATTATCTAAACACTTGTTTTTAGGACAGAATACGTTTTGTAAAATTTTGTACATATTATCTATTTAAAATAATAAGTTAATGCTGTACAGTGTTACTTTATATAAGCATGTATCACAAGAATTCATGATTAACTATATAGGTTAATACTATACTTGTAAGAAACTACCATAGTTATACAATATAATAAAAATTAAATAAAAAATCGCGTTACTAGTATAAAATATAAAAAATAATATACATACAACTGGAAATGTTTATTAGCACAGTGATCATAATCTGTTAAAATTAATTATTTGTGTAATTATTAAAACTACTACTAGAAAAGCGACACATGTAATATGATAAAAAACAACAAAAGTACACAAATATATTTTCTTTAGCTATTTCTTAATACTATATCGCTAGGTAACTTCTATTAAAATATATGTATAATATCATGTGTAAAATGATTTTTACAAAATATATTTTTTCTACTACAATAAGACCTCAAATATCACAAATGATTTCCACGTAAATTTATCAAGTAAATAATGCGCTTTATAGAATGCATCGGTTTTTAAATTACAGTTTTTCGGTTGAAACTAAGTTGCCTCATAGAGTAAGTATATTTCAAATGTGTACAGTTCAATTGTTCATTTACTAAATATAATGTATGTGTATAGTATTAAATTAAGCCATATTTTCAACGCAACCCTCAAGATCAATTTTCACAACACAAAAATATTAAACAATGATTATTATTAAAAACATAATTGAGGTATTTGAAACTGCCTGAGATACATGACATAAAGGAATGCAATGTTTATGCAATTTATGCATGTTTTATACCAAAACAATAACAATTGTGCTTTAAATTTACCCTAAAGTTGGGTTAATTTAATAAGCAGTTCACTTTTACATTTGCATATCAATCGTAGTAATACGTATTACCTTATTCTGTTATTATTCAAAGCACTTATACATTTGTGAGTGTAAAATGTGGTCTATTAAATTAACCTAACAGTAACATTTCATATAAAAATACGAATAATTGATCAAAAACAAATTAACAACAAGATCCAAAATAGTTAACATTTCTAAGCCTCTTTGATTAAAATTTAACACGAAGTAGCACAATTTCAATACTATAAAAATAAATCTAGATTATGATTTTAAGCGATATTTACCCGATACATCATGTAATGTTTCATATTGTACCACTGTTCAGAAGTTTAGATCGTTTCGTTTTATATGGACGGAGGCTCAACTAATTTTGTCTTTTCTCATTTCAGGCCCACATTGGTTCAATAAATAGTTTCCTGGTTACATTCACTAGTGTTTTAAACTCTTTTGCTCATGTTGTCTAAAGGAACCATTGCCTCAGCCGTTTTCTCATCGGCCGCGTAAGTCTTATTACCCTTTTTCCCTAAGCAGCTACCAAAACAAGTGTCACCTCTACCGAATGTTTCTCCGTCGTTTAGAGATTGTGGCATCGGTTGGTTCATCGTTTCGGGGAGGAAGAGACACAGGAAACCAGATATGAGAGCAACGAAGCCAAAAGTTACAGCTGGTATCTTAGGATCGAAAGAATCAAGGAGCGTTATCAATGGTGTTAAAGCACCAGAAAGCCTAGCAAACATAGAGCCTAAACCTATTGCCGAGTTTCTGACTACAGTCGGGAACAATTCAGCCGAATAATTGTATATAATAGCAAAAGATCCAGCGATGAAAAGCTTACCGCCTATAACGATAACCGTAGATACCATTGAACCGGATGGAAGGAATGTTGCAACTATGCATGCACCTCCGCCGATGATCATCATGGAACTCATTAGCGCTCTACGACCCCAGATATCTAGGAAATAAATCACAAAGGCGTAACTGGGGAATTCAACTAAACCGAATACTGCAGTTATGAGATAAGGATTACCCTCTAGCTTTCCAGTACTAAGAGTAAGCCCGTAATATACCAAAGAATTAGCGAACCAAGCCAAACATACATTAATGGTCTTTATCCTTAGATTTGGTGTTCTGAAAAGATCAATAAGACTGGCCTTGGGATCGTCAGATCCTTTTGAGGCTTCAACTTTACCTTTCGATACAAGATCAGCTCTGTCCAAAACTTCGTCAGACTTATTGAATTTTAAGGCTTTTTGAACAATATCCACGGCTTCTTTTGCTCTTCCTTGAGCCCAAAGCCATCTTGGAGATTCATCCATGATCCAAATATGAGGTATCAATATCACACTGTGTAGTCCATATACTACTTGAAGAATAACGCGATTATCGATTATCGCACCCCATGACGCGACTAACACGATTCCTAAAGCAAAGGCACATTGAAAAGCCACACCGCAGCTAGTCCGTTTCTTGGGGCCAACAATTTCCATAGTTAAAACGAAAGCTGGTATGTAAGCTCCAGCGGAACCAAATAATGCGTAGAAGAACGTTCCAACTAAGAACGACCAGTATTCTGGTATAAAAGCTACAGCTATTCCTAAAATCAATTGTAAAACTGCGGACCAGCAGAATACAGTCTTTCGCCCATATTTATCTGCCAATCCGCCGAGATATACTGCTCCGGTGAAGACACCCAGCATATAAATAGTTTGAGCAAGCGCTCCTTTCCATCTTTGGTCACAAACTAGATCCCACTCTATGGCACGTGAGGAGGTCCTGTATTTAGAATCGTACACCCATTTGGTGCAAGCAGCGGTATCGTTGTCTTCAGTATACACCAGACAGTTGTGCAAACCTCCAGTTAAGGTCAAGGGAATTGACTCCAATATTTCAGTTGAATTCCACCTGGCCATTGTCTCATTGGTGTCCACGCCTTCGATCCAGCATCTGAAAGATGTAATCATTTATTCGCTATGATTTTGGCAACTCAAATCCGTATGTAAAGTTGATAATTATGTATTAATTGTAGTGTACTTAACACTATTGGTGAAGTGTTTAATATTTTTGGTTCGCCCATTTTTTACGCCTGTTGCCAATTTTGTCCTATAAGTTGAAGTTTTACACATCATTATCTTTTTTAAAATCTTTACATACAATAACTTCTTATCTATCGTATTTAATATCTCACTTTTTAAAACGAAATAGTCAATATGGGTTAATGTAACGAATTAATTAAATAAAAAAAAACCCGCAATGAGTAAAAAAAATAAATTATTAAAAAGATAAGTATACAGATAAATTCCATTCCATATTTCTACTATACCTACTGTAATTCTAAGGTAATATATTCAAGGTCATAATATTTTAAATATAATTTTTATTAAGCTAATAGAAAATGTACTGTTAATTATTACTTTACTTTGAGGTTTGTTGAAAGATAGCTTAGATAGTTTTTTTATATACATATACTTAAATAAAACACAGATATCACGTTATACCTTTATTAAGCAACCAAAGCACTAAATCTAAAATAAAGAAAGAACGAAAGAAAATAATAAGTGCGTGTGACATAATTAAATAAAGTTACATTTCTGGTTATTTAAGACGGTTTTCTAGGATCCTTCGAGCCTGTTCGACTACGGGGAGGCGCAACTAATATTGCTTTGGACGATCATAAGTTTTCCATTTTTATTTATAGAAGGTATGAAGAATAAAAAATGCATTTTAGAAGAGAATAATTTTTGTTTAAACATTGTTTCACCTTTAATTTTACCCTGTGTAGAACAATACTAATTTAAAGTCATACGTAAAATAATAAGTACTTGACTACTTATGTTTACAAATCAGGCTCTGCCTTTCATATTTAAACTTAAGCTAATATTATTGCGTCTAATTATATCTACTTTTCATATAGTATTGCAATATGTAGAGCACCAAGAGATAATATTAATTATAATTACATTGCGTAAATAATTTGGTTAGTGATAACATTATTTAATAAAACATGTTATAAGGCAAGCTTAAAGTTAAATATGGCAGAATGTATACAGTCTTTACTATTATGTTTTTCAGTTCAACGCGTGCCGAATGTTTTACTTATTTGATCACAAGCTACATTTTTACTGAAGCCGAGTATTCACAAAACAAAGACAAAATTTGACGATCTACGACATAAGTTTTATTTATTTATAACGAAATCAATAACTACTTTGTCCGGTTTAAAAAAAAGGTTCTTTCGTTGATTGTTATTTCGGTGGCGGTTTCGGAATTGTTAAATACTATTTTAATCTGATGTATTTTTGTCTAGTTAGGTCCGCCCGTGACCTTTAATGATAATCCCTCTTACAGTAATTTGTTCATAGTTTAAAATGGTTTAAAGTGATTTAAAATCTTCGGGGTCGTAACTTAGCTTCTATGGTTGATACAGCCTTAACACCTGTTTATTTTCCAAAATAACTATGATTATACTATGGTAATGTTTAAAATACAGTCTTTGAAAATCGTTTTGCTTTCAACAAAGGCAAGTTATCACCACAATTCCTACCGGCGGAAACTGCCCAAAAATATAGTACAAATTCGTATGTCCAGTCATTATTACAATTTTATTTTTATTTATACATATTTTATAAACTCACTAGTTTTATGAGGCTTTTTAATTTTTATAACATATTGTCAGCAATTATAATATAATGTATACGAGATCTAGTATAAATAATAGTCTTTGATAACTTAATTATGGCCAAAGTGATATTGTTTTTCTTCTTATAGAACTATGGCATCATTTTTTATTCATCATATTTTAAGGCACTATGTTCTAGTAAACATAAAAAGACAACAGTAGGATATGTTTGATATTACATCATTAGTCAAGGAAAAAGGCATATAAAAGTATTATGTACGTTTTGAAAACTAACCTAATTCGATATTATCCAGTCTAATTGTTTCAATAAGAATTTGACTAGATAGTGTTTACTGCTAACTACCCTTTTGTCCCAAATATAATATTCTGATTAATCAATATTTTTATAAAAATGTGTTTAAACTAAACAAAAGCTTTAAGCTCACATTTTTACTTAATTTACTACGTATTTACGTAAAGCGGTGAACACAGGTTATACATGTTGACTTTGCAAATATATGAACGTATTAAATAGTAGGAAACGCAATTTCTATACGAATAAACAAAGAAAATATCAAAAAGCCTAAGGCATTAAAACTATCTTGAAGGCAGTGACCACAATATACTTTTGATATTAAATATTCAACAACTCAAATAAAAAACCGCGGCCCCTTTACTTATTATATAAAACTTATATCTTACCACACATATTAGCACTTAACGTGTAAAAATAATTCTGCACTGCAGAATATACAAATATTTTATAGTTGACATTATACATGATTGTTCGTAATATATGTATCTGTGGTAAGATTCTAGAATAGATAAGTAAACAGATTATACAATAAAATATTGACTGGTATTATTATGGCAGTGATCGTTATTTAAATAAGTACTTATTGCTTCTTCTCTGTACCATCTAATGGCACCAGAGTTTCAGGTATATCAACTGACTCTTGGCTCATGCGTCTGCCGCTGCAATTTGTAAAACAATTATCTCCAACACCAAACTTCTCTCCGTCATCGATCGATTGAGGCAAATCTCTGCCGATCGTTTCGGGAAGGAAAAATGTAGAAAAACCTGACAAAAGAGCCAAGAATGCAAACAGGATAGTCGGTATTTTAGGGTTTAATGTGTCCAGAAGACTTATCAAAGGTGTTAGAGCGCCAGACACACTCGCGCACATACTTCCCAAACCGACGCCAGAACTTCTAACCACCGTGGGGAATAATTCGGCGGAGTATTTGTAAATAATAGAGTAGGACCCAGAAATGAACAACTTTCCCACCATCACGACAGCCGTCGCGGCCATTGATCCATGTGGTAATGCGACCACAACTAAACACGATATTCCGCCGAACAACATCATCGCACTTATAAGCGCCCTGTGACCGACTCGATCCAAATAAAACACAATAATGACATAGCTAGGCATTTCCACCACACCCATCAAGAAAAATATTAAATAAGGATTGCCGTTCAACTTTCCAGTGTTCAACGAGAGGCCGTAATAAACCACCGAGTTGGCGAACCAGCAGCCACATATAATCAAGGTCTTTCTCAGCATATTTGGCGTCTTGAAAAGGTCAGCGGTGCCTGACGGTTCCTCATTTGCATATTTAGCGCTCTTCGCCTTACATTGCGAGACGAGTGACGACGCGTCTATGTTTTCAGTGGATTTGTTCATTTTCAAAGCCTTTTTAATTATAGCGACGCATTCTCGAGCTCGGCCTTGCGTCCACAGCCACCGCGGAGACTCGTCCATTAGGAACCAATGCGGCAAAAGTATGACGGCGTGTAAGCCGTAGAGTATTTGCAGATAAAATCTATTATCTATAAGGTATCCCCATGCGGCTAGAAGCATTATGCCGATCGCAAACATAACTTGGAAGGTGACACCGCATAACGTGCGTCTGCTTGGCCCCACTAATTCCATCGTTAACACGAAGCCTGCGATATAAGATCCGGACCCAAATATACCGTATAGGAAACGTATAGCTATGAACATGTAGTAGTCAGTTGAGAATGCAACTGACGCACCGAAAATTAGCTGGAGTATCCCGGCCCAAACGAAGACGGTTTTTCGTCCGATTTTGTCGCACATTCGACCAAGTACAACGGATCCTATGACGACACCGAACATGTAACCTGTCTGCGCCGCCGCACCCATCCAGCGCCTACTACACACGAAATCCCATTCGATTCCTCGGGAGGATGAAAAATACTGTGTATCATATACCCAAGATGTGCATGTTTCTAGCGTTCTGTTCTCTCCGTACATAACGCAGGACTCCAGCTTTCCATGATCGTTCAACGGTATAGCGTCAAGGACTAGAGAGGAATTCCACGGCGCTGTGTAATTTGAGCTATCTATCCCCGGCAGGGCGCATCTGAAACACAAATGAATCGTCAATAAATAAATATGCCTCGTGATTACGAAATATGCAAAGCTCAGTGCCGTGTGCTAAACAAACTAAATCTATGAAATTGTGCCACAGATAACAAATTACGATGAATGTGTAAGTGGACGATGTATGTTTTGTAGTTTATTGTTTTCTAGTAAACGTGTGTTGTATGACACTACTATATGAAGTTGAAGAAAGTTCAACGACGAATGATTAAACACTAATTATGATAAACATGCACCAGATTTAGTTGTATGGGACAGCAATTTGCAAGTTAATTTATAAAGCAATAGTTTAAAGTTAGCTTGTACCGTGACATGAAGCCTAAAGGAAAGTATACTCACGTCGGACATACAAAATAGGTCTTCCTTGAATTCACTAGGAAACAAACACCACAAAGCGTACCGAAAACATTGCAAGTACCTGGGTGACGTCATATAAAGCGGACTGTATATGTGTAAACCATTGCTATCGTCATATTAACTTATGTTAATTATAGATAATACTCGATAATTAGTTGAAGCGAAAACGGGGTAAAACTGTTAATTTAAAAAAACTTAGTCAAATATAAAAATAATCGTGTTATTTTTTAACAATTCATTTTAATCCAAGTGAAGCAGTTTTTTTTATGTCGGTATTATTTTTTTTAATAAGTAAATTATTCTTAATATTAGAATGCCATCTGTAATGCTAGCGCTCTGGTAACAATTGACTAAAACGACAATAACAATTTAGGTAAATAAAAAAATTACATAAACATCACCACATTTTATATAAAACATAAAAGCCAAGGAAGAAGTTTATCAAGATGATCCACGAGATAATGTATACGTGTAATGTGAAAAATATATTTGCGCCCCGTTTAATAGATACTTCAGAAAGATGATGAAAAAAATGAATTCAAACGAGTGAAATGATAAATTTTAACAATTTTAACTCATTAATGTACATACACACGTACATAAAGAGCGTAATTCACTTCAAAATATTATTTATAGCATTTAGACTTGATTTTTCTACATGCACATGCAAGGCGAAAAGTAAGAGTTGAGCGGGGTTATTTGTTTTTGTAAAACTTCTTGAGATCCGGTTGTAATAAAAATGAAATAGTAGTTAGTATCAGTCAGTCGGCAAAAAAAAAAAAAGGAATGCAATAACAAACATGTGACTGTGATAATTAAACGCAGATTATAGAAAAGAAAGGGGGGGGACAAAGGAAACGCGGATTTTTATGAATCTACATTTAATACCTAATTGAAAGTAGGTAAAGACGCGACCTTATAACAATTCTTGCAAATCAATTGTTAATTGTAGGTTGTAATGACCAAAGTTAAAATAAATTACGTAAATCAATGATTTTCTTTAATATTTATTTAAACAGAAACTAATTTGTCATAATTAAAAGATAAAGTAGGCATGACAGCCAATTTGGTGGGCTATACGATAAAATCCACTTATTTCCAGTTTAAAATTATTAAATTAAATATTTATCTATAGTCGATATTTTTATTGAGAACAATAATTATCCAAATCCTATGATAAGTCATTAATATTTATTAGGAGATAGTAATCAAAAACACATACATATATTTGTATGTCTTGTTACATTACTGCAGAGTTTGTAAGGCTCAGACCTATTTTTAAACTTTAAGGCACTAATGTATACAATAATGTATACAATAATGTACATACATACACATAATTTCAGATCTAGAAAAACAAACCGTAGTGACACCTGGATACATAATGCATGTGTCGCGACAAAAACGTATTCATTTAGAGAACCGATAAACATTTGAGATATGTCGTCTGTCTACGACCCAGTTTAAAGGATTTTGGATGAGAATAGGATTAGCCAGTCTATTTTTAGATAAAACTAGCCCCGCGTTTACCGTCCGTAAGATGGGTAAATTCTCCAATGCCTGCTTTAACTTTAAGCGTCAATTACAATAAAATGAGGCAAACACATTTCTGTGTCTTTTATACTTATTTTATTTATAGACAAGTAGTTGATTAGATTTTTGTGTACTGCTAGACCGAAAACATTTACGGCCTCTTTCGAATGAGTTAGACTCGGTAGCATTTTATCATGCATATAAGATAAAAATACCAAGTTGTTTTAATACTTTCATCAACAATCTTTTAGTAGTAACTGATAATTATAGATAAGCAGCACTCACAACTCTCACCAGATCACGAATATCAGAGGTTGGTTACAACATATCAAATGTCACCATTCTGTCATTCTTGATCTAGATTTCTTTGCTACCATCTGTTGCATATCTATGGATAATAGAAATTACATAACGCTTACTTAAAACGCGATCATACTTTCAATATACATGTATCTTTGTAATAACGTAGTTAAACTATATTATAGGCACAATAATCCCAAAACATATCTTGGGTTTGTTTTCACCTCCTAAGAACAGGCATCGGTAGTAATTCAATGTTATCTCTACTAATATATAAAGCTGAAGAGTTTGTTTGTATAAACGTGCTAATCTCAGGAACTACGGGTTCGAATGGAAAAAATATTTTTGTGTTGGTTAGAGCATTTATCGAGGAAGGCTATAGGCGATGTGACTAATAGGAGCGAAGGAAAAAACATCAATATGGCTTTCCAAAAGGGATACCAAAAAAAATTGAAAGAGTGATTCCTCTTTAAGTTATCTAAAAGTTCGCAACGGACATCGTGAGTAACACAGCTTTAGTTCATAAAGAAGAAGGGGTTTGCAAAAATGAATTTGGGTGCCCAAAATAACGATTCTCGCGGACGAAGTCGCTGACACAGCTAGTATGCGATATTTTAATACAACATTTGGTTCAACGGCGTAAATAACTGTATTAAGCTGTTCACGTCCTATTTCAAACCGTGCAATTTCGAAGATTGCTTATTGTGTAATTTAAGAAATATTTACTGTCAATCAATATTTTTCTTATGCTTGTCATAAATTTCTATCTACGCTTTAATTCGACGGCATTGAAAACAATGCAAGTTTTCGTCAAAATTGTTTATAAATAGGTAACTGTTGTATGGCGTAGTAAATAAAAGTTAAAACGGACGTACCTGTGTTCGGGTACAGCCGCCACAGTGACCAAGGACAGCATGTGAAGCCCCGCCGTTAGAGCTGCCAGGACGTGCAAGAAGAACTGGAACCCCTGGTATTTTCCAAAATCACCTGGAATAAGTAACCACATTGTTAAGTGAAGCTATAAAACCCCAGCATCCACTACATATAGTTAATAATACATATAATACATAAGCCGAGATCTGTTTGCGTTTTCGAGGGAGGTATTTACTAAAGAAAACGCTAACGGTTTAAAACGCAAAGTATTTGCACGACGTTTCTGATGCTTTGCAGTAGACGTCGTCACAAGGGTGTGGATTCAATATTCTTCGCGTTTCTTGCGTAATCTCTTTTGAGTCTGCTTCCAAGAAAAAAAAATTACGAATAGAATTGTAACAATAATGTTCCATAACAACTTAAGGATAAAATAAATAATTAAAACCTATTAATATTTAAGATCTTGCTAGACAAGTCTTCCCTTATCACCAATTTCGTATCATGTCGCAAAAAACAATACGACTTAACGGCTGCAACTGTTTGTGTAAATCGAAGAGTTATCTTATTATTGTCCTTACTTAATAAGCGAGTCGTAAAACATTTATCTGCCGGAAACATTCCATACGTTATTACGCTCAATATTTCCTATCAATACGAGCTTAATTACGTGTGACTCTGTGTACGAACCAATTATTATTTTCCAACAAAACGACGATGTGTTGTCGGCGCAATTAATTCCATAGTAATTATACCCACCAAGAGTTAAAAAAAATTAGCAGCTTGTATCCCGCTAAATTGGCATCTATACTTCGATTTAACATTTGCGTTTTGCTACTACTACGCGATAGACATATTAAAAAGCTGATATGCAGAGAATTGTGTTTGCGAGATATTATTATGTTGATACAACTGTAAACAAAAAAATTGGTCATAAAGCATTAATTTCGTCGAACTCGGCTGTTGCAAGTTAATCTTAAAAGATTGACAAATACTCTTTAAAATAATTTAAAAAAGAATCGATTATTAATACTTATTAGAACCGTTTTCGCAGTGCACCTCACAAAAGCCTTCAAAGATGAATAATTTTCTCCGTTTTTCTACATTTCCCACTGTCATATATACATCAAGCTGTGTCGAACTGTGATGTTTTGTTATTTAGTTTATAGCCTCAATAAATGGTATGTCCAAAACAAAAAGAACTATCAATTTAAACCAGTAGTTTCTGAGATTAGCGGCAACTGCGATTTTTTAAAAAATTAATTCATCATATCATTATAGAACTAACTAAATTAGCTTAGATAATAACAATATTTCTCAATATTTTTTTAACCTAAATACTAAGTACGTAGTAATATAGCGTACCATAAGTAGAACATCGATTCCGTCTTGCCCCACGTAAGATTTCTCTTTTTTACTGCTGTCTCCAGCCCCACCCTAAACTATATCCTCGGGTTTAGAATCAAAGACCTCTCGAGTATAGAACCATTGATCTATGGAGGCGAACTTAACGTACGGTAATAATACTACTATACAGAATTTACTTGCCATGTTTTCCATAGATGGTTGACATAACAATCTACGGTATGTGGATTACAAGAATACTGTTGCTCTGAGAATGAAACATCAATTAAAATCCTAGTACGTAAGAAATGATCACGTCAAAACGTGTGTCCCTAAGCAATAAGAGTTAATTGGCAAAGGAAATACCAATGGAACCTGTTAATTTTGCTCAATTTCTCAACCAGGTTTCTATGAATAGATCGCGTAAGTGCCACTAAAAAATTAATTAAGATACGTGCAAGCACTGCCTTGTAATCTAGTGCTTCGTTCAATTGAGTGCACACCACAACGTCCCGGGTTGAAATCTTGGGTCGGGCGGCGTGCTTAGGATTAGGAATCTGTCTAATATTGTATTTTGATTGCGAGTAACTGTATACTTTTAAATATTCTCCTCCGTGGCTTTTCGGATGCTTTACAACAGCCGTGTGCGGTTATGCATCCAAAAAGTAGAGTCGTGGTTAAATGAATAAAATATAAGTTTAAGTTATATATTTCGCGTTTTAAACCGTCAAAACTCTTAAATATTTTATTATAAAGGTTTCTAGCACCCGACCCGAGTTTGGACGGAATTGTGCCTTTATAGCACTCACACGTCTTGAGTTCATCAATACGTTTTTTCAATTAAGAAAAACTAGCGCTTATACAAAAGTAGAAACATTCTTTAATATCTTTTACAAATAATGATAAGGCTCGGTACACACAGAGTTATTTACACAAATGGAGAAATAATGACTTTATTTCGTCATATACATATTTATACATTTGATCAAAGATAATGCATTTGTGTATTATTTCTAGTGCGTAATTATTATATGCGACGCGATAAAATTATTTACCAACTGGAAAAATTCTTTTGTGTGTAGAGAAAAAGGAAAAGTATATTTTTTTTACTCGCAGCAACTAAAAATTATATCACGAGATCGTTGGCCGAACTGTAGCAATGTATGGCTGATAAACGAATCATTATTTCGAACCACACCAGGTCCAATATATTCCTTATTAATATATAACTTCGTGAGTAAATGAAAAAGCCGTAAAGTTTAATCGCGTTTCGGTATCAGGCTGTTGCTATCTATCATAACAGAATAATAATTATTTGACATTGTGTAATTGTTATTTTGACGCGCTCACTAACAACTTCTTACGGTAAGAATATTCTAAATACCCCGTATAGTAGATGTCGGCTAAAAGGCGACAATTTTTGGTGTCGTGCTGAACTAACAGAACTTAGGGTACGAAAGTTCGACCTGAATCAAAGTCAACATGACACGTTGAATCAAATTATGGGTTATGGAAGATGCACCAATACCTACAAAGCTAGGGATACACGAGCCTCGTGTTTGCTTTCTCGGAACAAACAATTATGGAAAGTATTGACCCCATTAAATCATGCAAACACGCCCTGGGCAAAAATACACCTGAAAGTCAACATAAGGCTATTGATATGTCACACGATACCAAGGTCAATAGCAAAGAGGATTTATGTGAAAAGTATCGGAACCGACGCGTGGCGCAGAACATAATTATTAGTAGGGCTCAGTATTTCATATTCACGACGATGTAACAACACTTCTAAACGATATTGATACTTCAGTTGATTTATAATTTGCTGAACAAAGTTACACATTCAATGATTAGTGCATGGAAATACTTACTGATAAAAATAAGGTGAGAAATATGGTCTTTAAAATGTACAATAAGAAAGAAAGTAAATTACTTACGTGTTCTATATCTCTATGATAACTTTATAGAATTCGTTTCTATCTCATTTAACAAAAGATAATATTATTTGGACCATGATTAAAGTGACGAATTTGATATAATAATTATTATTTCTCAATGTTTCTCAGATTGAAAACAGCTAAATTATGCTACCTTATTTTGTGACAACTTTTGTGAATGTGACTATATCTTGAAAAACCTTGAATGTCGTAAATAAGAAGGATATTCAGCTTACTGTAATCAGCCACTTTAGTCAATTTACGTGACGACAGATCATTAGAGCAACGACCCGATACATAAATTGCGGAATATCTGCCTTACACATAATTAAGTATAAGATTAAATAAAAACTCTTTTTGTTATTTTAAAAACACGCCTCGTTTGTTTGCCTGCTGTTAATATTAACTTTTTTTACTTCTAAATTCAATAAAAGTCAAGTTTTAATTTGCAAGATAAGAAATTTAAACTTCTATGATTTATGTAAAATACTTAATTTTTGGATTATTTCCTTTAAAACATATCACTGTATGTCAACGTCATATAACACTTTAGTAGCTTGGTTAAAATGCTCCAGATAAGCGAAGATTTATTTTTGATTCGATGATTCAGAACTTTCTCTATTTCGCAGTGTCGTTCTAATAATAAACGTCTAGAGTTCATTGCCCTGCGTGATGTCCTTTTTTAATAAATCTCCTTGGATTTACTGAATATATAATCGCATGAACAATTATAACAAACGAGTATACACATAAAATATTTTTTACCTAGTGTTCCATACACTCTAAATTCGCGTTAGGTAAAAAATACCCAAACACCAAAATGTCTGAAAGTCGCGGGCGATTCGTTTAACAGAAAAGACAATTAATTTGTTTCTTATATTAATCTTTTTTCAATGTATTGTAATGTATTAATAATTATATGTTTGAATAAATTTTGCCCATATGAGCTAAATTTCAATATTGTACTTTGAATTGTGTATAAATTTTTCATCAACGAAGACTTTAAAATGTAGGTATAACGATAATTTACAAGTTCATGCACCTGCAGGCCTTATGTACCAATGTGGTAAACATATATTTTTACAATACATTATAATTTCAACTACTTGGAAAGCAAAATGGAAGGGGAAAGATTTTTACCGCGTTATTTTCAGCCGCAATGCGCAGTTATAAAGAGCTCATCTTATCATAGAAGACTTAAGTGTAAGTAAGTGTGTTAACCATAAAATAAACTCTTACTTACTAGCAAAAGAATATAACGAAGTGAACTAATTCAATATTTTTGTATCAAATGGGTATAATAGACATAAAAATACCCATAGATAAGAATCACTAAGTAAAAGTACTAAGCAGGTATTTTTTAAATTCCGACTTTTATAGAAAACATGAACAGAATAATGTCTAAGAATAAGGAATGATGGAAATTTCGGTTTAATCTTACGAATAATATGCATTGATTATTAAAAAATAAATTATAAATACTGAAACGAATAATACGTATGTTTTTAAACCGTGCGTAAATTTGCGTTCGTACGACTGATAAATTCTATTTTCATGTTTGCTAAATCATCGTCTGTCTGTTATAGGACCGCAACATGAGTTCAGTTTTCCGGGGGTTGAAATCTCAGACGTCGTTTGTATAGATGCAACAAATAAAATACACGAATAAACTATAACATCGACTAAATTACACGGACTTCCGAGTATAGCCTTGACCTAAAGGATTTATCGAACTTACTTTGCTACACCTTTTATTAGCAGCCTTCAACGTCTACTGGAACCCGGCGAAATTACTTTAACAACACAATTCTGCATAACAATGTAATTACATGG